GTCAGTGGTTCGAATCCCGTATAGGCCTGATTTTTTTCAGGTCTGATTTTCGCTATTGCATAAATAGCGCTCTCTACTGCGAGGATCGTGCATCATACGTATCTAATACCGCAGTTCAAAATATATGAACTTCATAGTGTATCTGATTTATCATCACGGGTTTATTAAGAATCAACTTAACGGCCTGTTCCCAGTTGGCTTGTTAGCTCAATTGGTAGAGCGCTGCACCTAGTATCGCAGAGGTCAGTGGTTCGAATCCCGTATAGGCCTGATTTTTTTCAGGTCTGATTTTCGCTATTGCATAAACAGCGCTCTCTACTGCGAGGATCGTGCATCATACGTATCTAATACCGCAGTTCAAAATATATGAACTTCATAGTGTATCTGATTTATCATCACGGGTTTATTAAGAATCAACTTAACGGCCTGTTCCCAGTTGGCTTGTTAGCTCAATTGGTAGAGCGCTGCACCTAGTATCGCAGAGGTCAGTGGTTCGAATCCCGTATAGGCCTGATTTTTTTCAGGTCTGATTTTCGCTATTGCATAAACAGCGCTCTCTACTGCGAGGATCGTGCATCATACGTATCTAATACCGCAGTTCAAAATATATGAACTTCATATATACATTTTAGCTAAAAAATCTGTTTTATTTTAATGGCATTAAAACTAGGTAAAAGACAGAGAAACCCTTTATCGTGTTATTAAGTGTGAAGGTGAGATTAATTCGTTTGGTAGAAGATGATATGCACAAACACGTTTCTTTCTCTTTCGAGCCGTTGTCACACACCATAAAGCGGAAGTAGTTTAAGGTCTTGTTTTTTTTTTTTTTCGTCATTTGATCGATTTATCCTGGGGAAAAGAAATGATGTGGTCATGATATAACAGTCGAAGGCACATCCTTAATAATAAGGAAAAACTACCATTTGCAAGGGACGGAAAATGTGTTAATATACAAAACATTCGATTAAATTCGTCTGGTAGGTACATATTCTCAGGGTATAATGTTGATGCTAATGAGTACTTCTATTTGCAATTTGCACGGGACTCAGTTGATTTCTGACTGAGGCTAAAGAATTGCAATTTTCATCAAGGAAAACGGGGGTATTGGTCAAATCTGTGATATTATTAGAGCCACACAACTCGCCAGCGGAGCGAAATGAAAACAAATATAACTTATTCGGCACGCATGAGTAAGCTTAGTTCATACCGCAATTTTGACGCCTGCGTAAACATCTCGTATGAACAGCAAAATACCAAGTCGGCGAACGACGCTTTTCTTTTATGAGCCTTTGCTAAGATAGATCTATCGATTCTAAAATATTCCCAGTTCGACGTTGCAACGATAAGTTTAGGTTTGGAGAAAGCAATGATGGGAATCATGGTGAATTAGCTTGAATTAGTAACTTAGCTTGATTACTCATATATGGAAGATTCGCAAACTGCCGAAAAACAAATCCAGCGAACGGGTCACGTTGAAGAAAAAAAAGTGTGGTTTCTCGGAAAAAGACATAAGTAAATAATTCAAATATCATTCACTGTCAGAACTCCGAAAAAAAAAAAACAGTTCGATGTAATAATAATCATAATAATAATAACAACAATCTTTTATTAGGAAGCTCCATTACAATAGTGGTTTACATAGATGTACCTTTTCTTTAAGGAATATAGTATATGATCTACCTACGATTATTTGATCGAATATATGCCTTTTGAACTTAAGTTTATTTCAGTTAGGAAGGGGGTTAGGATACAAGTGACGCAAAGAAGAGAACTGCAAGACAGACAAAACTGCAAAGCATCGTACACAATAGTAATTACGGCATGTTTCACGTTTATGATCGCGTACATGATCTACCTACGCCTCCCGGTTAGCTCAATGGATAGAGCGCTGAACTGTTGTGCGGGAGGTCGAGGGTTCGAGCCCCGGCCGGACCAACACTCAGGGTCTTAAAATAATTGAGAAGAATTTGCTACCTTTCNACCATCCGGGCCTCAACACTCGGAATAAGAGTCATAGCAGCGGGAAAGACACCATCCGGGCCTCAACACTCGTAATAAGAGTCATAGGAGCGGGATAGATACCATCCGGGCCTCAACACTCGGAATAAGAGTCATAGGAGCGGGAAAGACACCATCCGGGCCTCAACACTCGGAATAAGAGTCATAGGAGCGGGAAAAACACCATCCGGGCCTCAACACTCGGAATAAGAGTCATGGGAGCGGGAAAGATACCATCCGGGACTCAACACTCGGAATAAGAGTCATAGGAGCAGGAAAGACACCATCCGGGCCTCAACACTCGGAATAAGAGTCATAGGAGCGGGAAAAACACCATCCGGGCCTCAACACTCGGAATAAGAGTCATAGGAGCGGGAAAAACACCATCCGGGCCTCAACATTCGGAATAAGAGTCATAGGAGCGGGAAAGACACCATCCGGTCCTCAACACTGAAGCTCTTCATTGCGTTCATTCTGGAGATCAGATCTTTTAGAACTGTTTTAGATGAAACAAACTCCCGATGGTTTTCAGTTACATAAAAGCCAATGTTTTCTTTACCAAATCTGGCCCTTATTAAAGAAAAAGGCTACTGCAATAGCTGATCAAGAACAACAAATTCAAAAAGAAAAAAAATTAGTCCCTAGAAAGAATAAAATATTGTTTATAATTGATAAATTCAAATGCAAGTGTGTGCCAATTTCCAGTTGCAGTTACAGGAATATAGGGTCTTCGAAGTGACGTCATCGTAATGACCTATACGGACACCCTTTAAAAATTTTTTTTGTCAAAAACATGGCCACAAAAAATTTCTGGTGAAATCTTGATTATGTATGCATGGATCAATCTCTAAGCGGTTGAAATGCGTCAAAGTCTGTTTAAGAGTAAAGCTGGGGTCCAAATATTTAACATTTACACCATCCAATTACTCCCACCCCCGCCACCCGACTCCGCTCCGCCACAGTGAGAGAATGCTTCCCGATAAAGGAGTGAGAGAATGTTAACCTTATTATAGCAATTTCTATACTCTGCTTGCGTTTAATAACCGTTTATTGTCGGTGATCTTGTGTCAGATATTTCATGATACATTTGACTGAAATCTGTATTCTTCAGTGTGCTGTTGTTTTGCTCTTGAGAAGGCTAATGAAGTCGTTTGAGGCAAAAAAAGGAAAAATTGAATTGTTCTCCACCTTTGCCTTTTCAGCTGCAAGACTCAGTATTTGAATGTAGTTAAAATGAAATTACGATATTTATCCATAAACACTAGCTTCAGTTTAGGATTCGAGGTACAAAACAATAAACAGTGTTTACGTGCTATTGCCGTAGACGTCATCAAAGAGGTTCGGCTACAAATGAGGGTAACGCAACATTCTGGGAAATCGTATTCAGGGAACGACAAGCAAATATACTTTGTTCGGCTGTGTTCGAAAAAGGTTTGCTTTCCTGTTCATTGGTGAAGTTATTCCAAAGAAAAGTGCTATGGATATGAAAGGAAAGCCGACCAACATCTATCTTTTTAACTGCGATAATACTTGTAGTTTAGATCCGATAGAATCCTTACTACTAACTGTGCAAAACGATGCGAAGATGCGGTTTGCAGTGGACAAGCGCAATTTTCGGCTGCGTGAAATGTCAGAGATGTGCGAGACACTTATTCCCGGACTACAAATGGATTTTGCTATTTTTGCTGTCAATGCCCATGAATCACGGCTCTCAATCAACGAAGACAACGCTGGAATTGGTTATGCAAATATCTACAGAGCGTTACAAGAAGCGACTGGTGAGTCGAAATGGTCGAGTTGATAACGGTTCGGCATCACATCCTTTCGCAGCAATTAAGACATACTTTTTTCTTTTCATGACGATATAAACTCTGATAACGTTAAATATCCTTTAGACCCCTGATAAATGCCGTTATTTGTGATTTGTAATTTTTTTCATAGGGGAACACAAAGAGAACAACATATACAAGCGTAACTAGGCCTGTATCTTTCAAGGTAGTCGAGTTTTCAACATTTACTCTTTTCTTGAAAGATGAGACGCGAACCTTTGGTATGATTAACTCTCAAAGCTAGTTCCCGGGGATTAACAACTTTCGCTTTAGTGAAAAACACTTAGTTCGTGTCCACGTTGTAACTAACCAAAAGCGGAAGTTACTTCCGGCCTCTCTTCGACTTTCACTTTAACAAAACCATGATTTTATCATCCACGGTTTCTCGGAAGGAACTTGGATGTCTGAAAATAATAGTCGAAAAAATAAATATATAGGTATTTGTAAAGGCACGCGTTCTTCCACTGAGAAAACTCGGTTTAACAAAGATCATAAATAAAGGTTGTGAAAGTAAACTCAGACGTTTTAAATTTACCCCATAATCTTGAAAAGTCTTTAAAATAAATCTATCCGCAATTAAAGACTATGGTGATAATTCCCGGTATTGAATACTGGGAATCATGGGTTATTTGTTCTGAAGGCCGTCTAAATCAGGTTGGAGGGTACAGCGCCAGTAAGAAAAAGACTACGGATAGTTTGATGGTGTTTTTGAAATCATATGCAGTTTTCATTCAGAGATTTTAGTGAAATTTTGAGGACTTATTTACTGACTTATTTTACTAATTTAGGCTTAATCTTCGAACGATCTTGGTTTGCTTCTGAGAGAACTTTTTGCTCATTTTTTGACATAAAATTATACTTAATTTTGATCATAAAGACATTAAAATCAGGCTTGAGGGAACTGCGCATTCCGATAGATAAAATGGTGTTTTTCATTTGAATCATGTGCAATTTTCTTGTTTTCAAGACAATTCATTTATTTTGTTTTCCAAGGAGGTAAGGTTTTGATAGTCATCGGTGAAGACAACAACTACAAAGATTCAGACGAGAAAGACAGATCTGTGATCTCGCGTTGGTCACGGGGAAAAGTGGCTTCGCAATTCGGGGAGGAATATCTAGACGGAAGACAGAGCTTCATCTTTTCCTGGAACAAGAAACACAGGGAAATCCATGAGCAAGCATTGCTGCATTACTTTGATCCAAGCAAAACAGGAAAGAAGTTTGAATACCAACCGAAACCAAAGCCACAACCAGAGCAACGACTAGAGCTAACATCAGAGCCACTATCAAGGATGGAGGTATGAAAAATATGAATGAGTTTTTCTATATAAATAAAATAATTTTTCAGCCTCATAAGAAAAGAGAAAATCATTGATCCAAGTAAAAACGGGATGAAATTTTAATACTAAGCCAAACAAAAACAAAATCAAGAACCAGTGCCGGTTAAAACTGAAGAGCCCTCAGCCCTCGATCGTAAGGTATGACGTAGTTAAGTGATCTTCACCGATAATAATTTAAGAATAAATCATATTTTCGTTTTGGAAGAGATTAAGTCTCGTTTTTAAACCAATGAAAGGCTAGACTTTGTTTACAAGTCGGATGGTGAGAATTTAATTTTGCAGCGTTTCCTTACCTAACAAGTCGAGAAATGTACTTCAAATTACGTTCGCAAATATTTGTTTTGACAAAATAAAGTCTGTAATGTGATAGTCAAAACGAGAAAGCGCCCTTACAGACAAGGCTTCTTAATGAAATAATGATGATGATGATGAGAACGATGATTGTAGGAATGGTATGAGTAACGAAAATGATATGAATTTCCTCATATAATGAGACATTGTTCTGTATTACCAAAACTGAGACACTGAGTTTTGTGTTATAATCTCAGAGGTTACCAGATATAATTCCCTGATATACCTAAAAACTGATTATGCAACCCTCAGATATCGCTTGGAGATAGCAGAGAAATGCTTCTGCCGAAAGACATTGCAAAGCAAGAAAAACCCTTTATTGAGGTAGGCGATTACTGAGGCCAACCTAAGATAATAGCCTAAAACCAGACCCTGAACTAGTTCCAAATGACCTTAAAACACTGGTAAAACTGAACTATTTACCCATTTCCCAACGGTTTGACTAAAAGGTCTGAGTGTGCTTTCATATACACGTTTTGGTCGAAAGTAGAATGCCTGGAAATTAAATAAGGCACTGATCATGACAAACCCTAAAAATAATAAATCGAAAGGTACGTAGACTATCCAAGAGAGCTTCGCCTAAAAGAGAAGTAGAGATGTCAGTAAAGAGGCCACTAAGGAGGGTAGATGGGAACTGTTATTTGCAAGATGACGTCCATCATACGATCTCATCAAGCTTTACGGGGTCGGGTTCTTGAGTCACAAAACTCAATTTAAGGGTAAATATTGGAGGTTATGTATTAGAGGAAATAATATGAGACTGGTTGCTTTTATTTTAGCAGACGGAGGTTGCAGTCGAGAGACGTCAACAGGAAAAAAAAGAAGAGAAGGGGTCAACAGTGAAGAACGAGACAGGTGAGTTGACAATGCACGTTCCCAAGAACAATCTAACTACGGAGCTGTAATCGCTCTTTTCCGATTGAGAATGGAACTATATTTAGGTTAATTACAACGTGTACAGGATTATTTATCGAAAGATGAATTAAAAAACTAAGAAATTATCCCAAACTTTGTATAAGTCAACCCAATTTGCTCTTGTTTGGTGGTGAAGGAGGACATGATGGAGACTCCGCCGAGAAAAGGAAAAGGTCTTCTTTGATATGGATGTACGCAATCCATAGAAACCAGTCCCGGGACACGAACGAGGAGCTCTTTTCGGCATCTGGACTGATAAAAGCATCCCTCCGGAGCATACACAGGAACTGCTCCTTAAATTAATATACAAAAAATAAGAGAGGCAGAGGGAGCGAAAGAAATCTAGGAAAATCTTGCGTAGCAGATGAGTTCGACCTGGCAATTTTCTCCACCCTCATAAATACCACAAATCGAAGCTGGAATTTTGTCTTATTGAATTGTCAGTTGTTATTGACGTGCCTTTGTATATTAATATTGCAGCCATGGGTCAGGATTACCCGGCAGGCACTGTGCTCCTGGAGACGCGTTTGGTTAACGGCGAGATTTCATACCAAAAGCGGCACATTGTAAAACGACAAGATGATTGGCAGCCTTCTGAAACTCAAGTATCAAATCTAAGAGACTCGTACCGGCTAATTGGAAATGTTTCGGTGCGGTTTGAGGCTACAGGCAATAATGGTGGGATTCATTATAGGGTATTTAATACAACTTGGTGGCGCAAATGCCTTGATTGCTTCAAGGATTGTTTCCCTTGCTTATGCCCACCTTTCTCTTGCAAATGCCCACTAAGCTCTTGCATTTGCAAACATATTGATATTGCAGCTATGAGCCAGGATTACCCGACAGGCACTGTGCTCCTGGAGACGCGTTTGGTTTATGGCGAGATTTCATACAAAAAGTGGCACATTGTAAAACGACTAGTTGAATGGCAGCCTTCTGAAGATCAAATATCGAATCTGAGAGACTCGCACCGGTTAATTGGAAATTTTTCGGTGCGGTTTGTGGCTGCAGACAATAATGGTGGGATTATGTATAAAGTATTTAATACACCTCGGTGGCGCAAATGCCTTGATTGCTTTAAGATGTGTTTCCCATGCTTATGCCTACCTTGCCCTTGCAAATGCTAATGTGGCTTTTGTAAGCGCTTACGTTGCTTGAGAAGTTTCTGTTGTTGCTGTTATTGCGATGAAGATTACTGAAGGAGTTTCAAGCCTTCCCTATATCACAAAATAAAGAAATTAGCCACAGTTTGCCTGAGATATTTAACTTTCCAAAACATTTGAGCTCCTCTTCCCCTTTCTCTCCTCCTCCCCCCCCCCAAAAAAAAGAATTAATTTTCGCTAAAAGGTATTTGATATCATCAATAAATGTGATTTCAATAGCCGTAATGCTACCTAGCTCGGGCCTCGATGATTAAATAAATTGGGGTTTATTTGTAAATACTTCTCATCACGTTAACCCATGAAAACTGTGAAAAGCTCCGGCAGAATGGGCTATTAGGCCTGCAAGCTGCAAGGACAATGTCCTTTGATATTTCAATGCTGTACCTTTTTTACGTTATAAACACATTTTACGTGAACTTGCGAAAGTAATTGGTTGTTTAGTTTTTATAGTACAAAAACAATTCTTTCAGAATTAGAAAATATGTTTTTTTGTTGTGAAGTTAAAGTGATCATGAGCAATTACTTTCTTTACGAGTAGGATACGGAAGTTCCACTGTAACTCTATATATCTAGTAAATATAACTGCACTGGATTTTAGATTGGGTTAAAAAGTCATATTGCCTGTAGTTTAATTTAAGAAGTTACTGAATGACTGTTTCCAACATTAAATATTCTATCGGTTATTTAAATTTGTGTGTTGATTTCTCATTACATCTTAAGATCATGGGTTGGAAGCCCCCCTCCCCCTTCCTTCGAGGGGCTGCGGAGAGGATGAAATTCTGCCCATAAGCTCGACTTAGTCGTCCAAGTTGTTCAGCCGGGAAACATGAAACAAAGCAGGAGGTGTAAAGGGAAAATAAAATCGACATTACAGAAACAACGGACATAATTTAGCACTGCACTTTTCATTCCCCTATCGATCCTATCCTTCTATCTAGAATCCATGCCAATAGCAGTCTACTAAAAGTGTTTACAAATTACCTCTAATACTGTGGGAATAGTGATTCTGAAATTAGCGGACGTTTTAAATGAAGAGCATAGCCTAGTTTAAAGTTTTGTTCAGGATTTTTTCATGCATTTTCCAATTGCCTGAAGAGTGGGCTAGACAGGGAGCTACGAGGATCAAGGAAACTTGTTATCCCATATGTCAATACAACCACTTATGGTCTCCACTCCTTCAGATACATTTCTGCAAGCATGTGGAACAAACTAACAGAGGACCTGAGGTCATTGACGTCGTTGAATGAGTTCAGAACTAAAATATGTCAAATTTCTTTCGAACATTAAATTTCCTTCGAACATAAATGTGATTAGATACAATGTATATATGAAGTTCATATATTTTGAACTGCGGTATTAGATACGTATGATGCACGATCCTCGCAGTAGAGAGCGCTATTTATACAATAGCGAAAATCAGACCTGAAAAAAATCAGGCCGTACGGGATTCGAACCACTGACCTCTGCGATACTAGTGCAGCGCTCTACCAATTGAGCTAACAAGCCAACTGGGAGCAGGCCGTTAAGTTGATTCGTAATAAACCCGTGATGATAAATCAGATACAATGAATATATGAAGTTCATATATTTTGAA